GGATGGAATAGGGAGATTGGGCCATGACCCACCACGCGGGCCCAGTGCGGATTGGCGGGTGCTAACGACTGCAGATGCAGCCGGGACCAACGGCTTAACGTGCCTTCTGAAGCTCGAAAAGGATGCGAAACGTCATAAATAAATCTGTGCATCTATACCGTTGAAACTTCTTTTATTTCATAATAAAATTAAGGAAATAGGGTATTTAGATGTGGCATTTGATTGTAAACATAGGTGACTCTATCAACCAATCAGCTCGGACGTACTTAAAGTTTCCTCTCAAGAAAAACAAGAGTTTTGCGAAACGTTTTTCGAAAATATAAGCGTCAGATTGCAAGTTTAAGTGCCAGTTCACAATGTCACGAGACATAATTTAGACTAACTACCATTACTATTAGTGATTGTAACAAAAACAGCGTTATCACACTTACTGTGTATTTTCCATTCCATTGTTTAATCAATCATTTATTTATTTTTCTCTCACATGAAAATAAAGTTCATTGTGGTATACCACTTGTGGTTTACAATATGTTATAGTATTGTGAGAGACTGGTGCCTGAATTAGGTTTCAGTGAAACCTGTGGCACAGATCACCATTCTTAACTGTATGATAATGTGTTTCTCTTTTATGGTAAACAGAAAAGCTTTTGTACAACTGTTTATAAAGCAACAACAACATGAATGTAAAAATAGATTTCACATCAGTTTTTGTAGAATCATAATATTATCTTATAGGAGCGTGTTCTATAAGGCGACCGCAAACAAAACAGTATCAAATACCATTAAAAAAAGTTTACACTTTCCTGACTTTACCATATCTAAGTGGCCTTCTTCACCGGGCCGGTGCGTGTTCGTTTCTGTACCGAGTCTGTACAGATTTTTTACCGACAACCACTTCTTGACCGGCTCGATTTCGGTGCGGTATCATTTCGTTTTGTTTGCGGGAATGACGGGACGTGTGAGTCTAATGGTGCGGTAGATTCCGAAGATGCTGTACCGAATCTACTCAGTGAGGAAGAACTCATTTAATGAGGGCTATCGCGTATGAATCCGCCGCTAGAGGCGCTAGTGTAGCGTGAGGTCTCCGAAATGTCAAATGTTATTGCTTGTTGGTTGACTACGCGGGTTTATTTCTAATTAAAATAATGTTGTGAATAATTGGTAACAATTCGGCTTAATTATGGCAAATATGAGTTATGTGGCAATGAATGTCAATTATTAAAAACTTGAGCTTAGAAAAATGATTATGTTCCCATTTTTTCTGAATAAAACGGAACTGCGCGTCACTGTGGCATGGCCTATTATGTTTAGGATATGGTTCTTTTGTGTTAAAATACGATCTAAATGTAACCTTTGATTTCATGTGCGTAATAATAAACTTTAAAAGTTACAATTTAGGATCTCACTCAACAGTGGCGCCATCTGGTGAGGCAGAAAACGGTAGCCCTCATTATATGCACTTGGTAAATGAGGTCGACGGCGCAAGTGGTTAGCGCGTTCGGCTGCGATCGTTGAATTACATAGGTCGGTCATTGAATGGGTGACCAAAAATTTACTATTTCGAGCTTCTACGTGCATCGGAAGGCGCGTCAAACCGTTGGTCCCGGCTGCATATGCAGTTGTTAGCACCCACAAATCCGCAATGGGCCTGCGTGGTGAGTCATGGCCTAATCTCCCTATTCCATCCATAGGCAAGGTCTGTGCCCTGGTAATTAATAGGCTGATGATGACTCGGTAAAAATCTGTACAGATTCGGTACAGAAACGAAACTAGCCTGCACTGACCTTTTGTGTGAGGGAGGGAACTTAGATTGACTAATCTTTTCCTTTTTTAAGTGCTGGTCTAAATAAAGTTTGCTTGAAATTTAAGCGGTCCTTATTGGCTTTTTGAAAATAAAAGAGACAGTTGCCAGCCCATCGCCTATAACAGTTTTTGAATACGGGTCGCTTGATAGGATTTGATTATCTGCACAGAAAAGTAGTTGCCACAATTTAGTTTCTCTTTTGAAAAAGTATGATCATTCGTGCTGTATCCGGTCAAATTAATTTAGATCATTAGTGGTTTAACTCTTGCATATAGTAACATTTATAAGAAGTTGTGACATTGGCGTCGATTCTGGCATGAAAGCTAAACTTAAATTTGACAACATGTGTATCCTTGTCATTATCTATACAGAATTAAAAGGAGAGAATGATGTTAAATTAAGTTTTCGGTTTACATAATCATATCAGAATCTGTAGTGGTAATTTATTTCACAGTATAGTAAACTGTAAGAAGTAGAATTGTATAAATATACTAGCTGTCCCAGCGAACTTCGTACCGCCATAAAAGAATAGGGGTTGGTGGTAGAAAGTTGAAAATTTAGGGATGTTTGTAGTTTTATATGATGTATCATAAAAAAAAATAAAAAAAATAGGGGTGGATTACCCTTAACATTTAGGGGGATGAAAAATAGATGTTGTCCGATTCTCAGACCTACCCAATATGCGCCCAAAATTTCATGAGAATCGGGAAAGCCGTTTCGGAGGAGTTTAACCACAAACACCGCGACACGAGAATTTTATATATTAGATTAATTTGCATAATTGTGCAGGCGCATATACGGCTTGTTTGGCGGTATATGGATTGTATAATACGCGACAAAAGGGATAGTTCCTCATTTGTCGCCATTAAATATCAAGATCGCTTATACGTGCGGTATTTAGGTTCTACATATGGGAAGAACTGGATTGTAACGTTAGTTAGTGCGATTATTTTGATACTTTTATTAAGTATATTCGAAAACAACATTCCTATTGAGTTCAATTAATTCATTAATGAAAGCTACGAATTCAAGCGTGTCTTAACAAAACAGATATATAATGGATAGTTAAATTGATCACTCATAATATACAAAATAAAAGTAGTTTGTCTTGTTCCGTAATTACATCTACACTAATTTATCAATATTAATTAGTACGATTGCACTTATTTATTTTTTTTCAAATAAATCTAATGTTCATATTTACAGTTCTCACAAATGGTTTCAAATATAACACCTAAGCAAGGTATAGTTATTGTGCCATTCAAATGTCGGAATTAATGACATGCGTTTGTTATTATTTAAAAAAAAAAAGAAAACGCTACCATTAACAGCGACAGTTGTAACATCACGGGATTTACATATAAATATAAATAAATCAATAAAATCTGAATTCTTATAACAAAATAAATACCCATATGATTAATGAATAATAATTATTAATCAGTTGTCATGTTATCATCATTGTTTAAAATAATTTACAATTTCTTGTGCCATATTATGTTGTGTGACTTTAAAATTTTCATCACATCCACTTTATTCTTTAAAAATGTATCGGAAATTAAACGATTTTTATTAATAATTGCAATCAAAATATTTGCCTTACAAAAAAATTTATTAACGATTGTTGTACTTGTAATTGGCACAAAGTAATACCAAAACTCACTCAATAGGATGATCAATTTATTTTGAGTTATACAGAATTAATTATATATTTTAATTAACAAAAAAAAAATCTTCTACATTGAAAGATTTGGATTCAGTCCATTCACAATCTAATATTGAGGGAATAACATATATATTGTCATATAAAACTAAAAATATTATTATGTATGCCAACAGAACAAATATATATTGAATAATTGTTTAAACAATTTTCAATACTCTCGACGTGTATTGAAAAAAAAAATTGTTGCAAAACAGCATTCAATCAATCAGTAGGTAGGCAATTGAACAATGATGTACTTAAATAAAAAAAAAATCTAAGTATTCCTCAAAAAAAAACCACGAATTTAAGATTAAATGTTTTATAGCTATATTACATTTACATTTCATTTTAGATATTTATTCCTCCATCATAATGTTTATATATATAAATAAATAACTTATTTAATTAAAATTTATTTTACAGTTCACTAATACTGAATATAATATCACCATTTCTCAATTTGCGTGGCGATTGTACACAATTTTTTTGATTAGCGAATACTTTCCGTAAAAAATTTTGCAATAACCAAGTATCTCAAAATATTCGGTAAACCCTACTTGCATACTCACAATTGAAAAGTAAAACATCACAAGATTAAAATGACACAACATAAAAAAAAAACTTTCAATAAAAGTGTCACTAATTTACAAATCACTATCTGTAGTAAAATATTTATTAGTTAACAATAAAAAGTACACCTATTAGTTATTGCAAAAACATCCGCTCACAAAACGGCGAAAAATATTCGTTATTTTATTTTTTTACAATATTTATTACATAATACGACCAATAAAATTTTTTATTATTCCGTTATCCTAAATAAATAATTCTACTTATTTAATGAGTACCTATTATTTACATCATTCATTGATAAAAGACTAGTCTCGCAGTTGCGGTTACCAAACTTGGCATCAGATTTTATCAAACACATATTTTGATAATTTAGCAATACAATTGCTTGAGTTACCAATAACACTGGCAACTGAGTTACGTTGCTGTTTATGCAAAATAATGTTACAGTTTCAATAAAAAATTGTTTGCGATTCATTACAAAATTGTCGTAAATGTAACATTATGCGCACGCACAGCCTCTAACAGAGCAGTACGTTCTTTGTAGTTTTATTTTATATTTTTGATAACACTTTCAATTTGTTTCAATACAGAAATTTAAAAAAAAATTACATGAAATTTTTGTAATTATAAATAACCAAACCATAAAAACAGTCAAAACCGTACAAATAAAAAATGTACGGCGTTATTATTATTGGACATTTCGAAAAAAAAAAAGATTTATTAATATAAGACAAGAACAGATAACACTGCTTTGTGTGTAATCACAAAAACATAAATTTCTACAGCTCAGAAATTATGTTGTCGATTCTGACATGATTCTCTAAACCTAAGCTTAAATTTGACAAGAGTGTATCCTTGTCATTCTCTCTACAGAATACAAAGGAAAACTGATGTTAAATTTAGTTTTAAATTTAGAGAATCATGCCAGAATCGACACCAATTAGGTATTGGTGTCGATTCTGTGCATTCTTAAAATAATCAAAACCTACTTACAGACAAAGAACACAAAATTCTAACGTCCCCAATCCCCTAATTCTTGTAACCTTACAATAGTAGCTGACATAACATTGTATGATAATGTTAATTTTTGTGTCATTAATATTCCTTCAAGGGCCACCTTACGTGCTTTACCCACTCAGATTCGGTCGCATTTTACAATAAAATCAAAATGAGATAAACTTTATTATTGTCTTTGGTATATCATTAATTCAGGACTAGACTATTGCAAAGAAGCTACGAATGCTTTTTTTTATAATTTCACTGAATCCCTAGTCAAGAAAGGGTCTAAAGTCAAAATTTCTGATACTGCGAACGTACTGCTCTGTGAAAACAATTTGTTCACACTAAACCATGGATTCGCTTACGGCTTACACTGGTCATGCGTAGTGGGGGTAGGAGCCTAGGTGTGACGTCACGTGGGGCGGGGCCATCGAATGGGGGGAGTAGAGGTTGCCTCCCCCGCCCCCCCAGTTGCCCCACGACGCCGATGGGAATATTGACGCTGGAACAACGGAATCTTACCTCAGTTAAATAGAAGCCTTGGATGGATGAACACGAATTTGTTAATTTAATATTATAACAGAGGTATACAACACACATACTCATATATAACAGAAAAAATAAAAGTGTTTCTTCCTGAATCAGTTTGTTGACTTTAGAAGTACAGTTTTTGTGGAAGAAACTATGTTGATTGATTATGAAAGAATTATAGTTGGAAGATAACGGTACATACTGAAAGTAAAGCCAAAATGTATAATAGAACCTTTCATTTTCAGATTGGTCTTCTATTTCAATTTGAAAGTTAAGGTTCTATTTTTAATTTTGTCTTTCATTTCAGTATGTTATTCTCAATTGCATATAGTGAACAAATTAAAAAAATAAGCGTTGAAACCATTGTTGAACTTTCTATGAAATTGTAGATAGCGCTATTGAAAATAATGTTGCATAAATTTCCAACTATTATATTTCCAAACTTATTTATTACTCAATGGAGAAAAAAATTGTATCAAAAAGGTACACAACGCAAAAATAATGAAAATACCTGTTCCATAAGCTTCCTGACTTAGCCTGTTTGCACATTATGAGAAAAGTTCTTGTTTGATACCATATTATAATAAAGGTCTCATAAAACAAACAATGAAACTTAATTTCTTATACTTAAGATATTTCTATTAAGACACATGAAACATTCCTTAAATTGTACAACAGGCACACAAAAGACCTTATTAAGTTATTAGTTAAAGAAAGGCATACTCTCATGCAATTAATGCTAAATTAATCCATTGCGGGGCGGTATATTACCACGGTAATAATGATATTATTACCATGATAACTAAGGAATTGTTTAAAAATAATAAAACAAGGTACATGGTAACAATCCCGTAAATAACTTATATTACTGTAACATACTTATGTACCTAAAAGAAAGCGTCTCAGGTACAATAGCAAAGGATTTCGCACATTATTTGAATAAAATTGTTTAATTTGGAACGACACAAATATTTCAATCATAAATTATTTATAATGTAGATCTAAATCCAAATATTGTTGAAAAAAATAGGTTATTAAGTTGGTTAAAAAAAACTATTAATAATGTAATATGAAAATGATTGTTGACGTGATTTGTTGAACCGAAAAACTTAAAATTTACTTGTTTTCCGTTGAAAATATCACACACTAACTATAAATTGTAGTGTATGTTTGTATTACATACACTTTGAAATAAGTTTGAACACAAAAGTAAAGGAATCGAAATAAAGTGAAGTTCTGATAACGTTAAACTATGAAAAAAAAGCTATCTGAATAATGGTACCTTTTTTAAGAAAATAATTACAAAATTAACGTAATAATAACAATAATTAATATTTGAACATTTGAAAAATGGCATTTTTCAAATGTTCAAGGCCTAAGTATAATGTTTTGCCTAAATCTCTTATCTGCAATGAATCATCGAATCTTTTTTAATTAATCCTAAGTGCATTATCATACTAGAAATTCTGATATGATAATAATCCAGCTGCATCTCTGTCTGTTACATATATTTATTTTGTAGATAAATAGACATTTTGCACTATTTCAGTGTAAAAGCCTGAACAAAACATTTTGGCGTTAGCCATTGATTTCAAAATATATAAAAAAAAAAATTGACTTTATGGAAAGTTACAAAAAATCTGTTTCCAAATAACTGATTTTCTTAATTTTAAATACCCCTCTATTTATTGAATCATAAACAGAGAGCGCAAGTCATGATATTGATATAACCCTTATTGGCTGCAAGTTTTTATTTTACGTTACTCATGGAACTATTAAGTAAATATCTATTGGTAGTTTTCCAATTACAGCATTATAGCGCATTATGCGGCATAATGCTTAACGTTGAGTGTTCCAACTACAGCAACGCTTCGCACAATTGAGCACTCTCAAAAGTAATGCTTTCGTGTGATGCGTGCAATCGTACCAACTCAGAGACAGAAAATTAACAAGTGTTTTTTCTTTAAGTTGGCATTGATCGAAATGTTTTATTTATATGATATCGTTAGTAATATTATTTATTGTTGAAAAATTATTAAAACTTTCGTTTCATCATAGTTTTTTTTTTAAATAATCAAAGTTAATTCAAACTGTGTTAAAAATTAAATATAAATATGGATGAAGGTACAAACATTGACTTTCTTTTTCAACACTGAACTTAGCGCACTCAGCTGGTGCATTTGAAAACTAATTCACGTTCCAATTAAACATCAGCATAATTCGGCACTGAGTCGCATTATGCTCTGTAATTGGAAAACAACGATTATAAATCGAATTTAAAGCTTGCTTTTACACGTCAACGATATTGAACATTAAGTCAAGAGTGAGTGGTGTGACAACCCGTCTCGAGGACTGGACCAATATTTGCTAAAGGTAGTGCACATTACGAATGTAAATTATTTTGCGTACGACACCGGGGAGGGAAGGTCAATGTTTAGGGTTCGGGGCGTGGACTCTTGTCCGCTCCATTAGTTTGGACTCTGACATAACAATTTGCCAATTTTATTTCAGGTAGGTTGTGTCAATCATGTAAATTTGGTGATTTCTGTGATGCGGGGAGACTAAGACGGTCATTTTCAAGCCCACGAAATTATTTATTGTTCTGACCAATTATGCTACCGCAGCTCTCACGGACCGCGTCGAAATTCTTCTAGCCATTCTTAAGCTGCAAGGCAGTCTGCTGCCTGGTCCGCGTGGATTTTTTTCTAGTTATATTTTCTTTAGATTTACACATCAACATGCTTTAAAATAATAATAATAATAAAAATGTTTTCCGATTTCCCCTTTAATTGGTATTCATCATTCAATATTCGATACATTGCTCTTGAAAGCGATTCTAAGATAACGGAAAGGTTTTTTAAGTTTTGTTTCGATTGCTACTGACAAAATTAAAAACAAAATTGTAGGCATCATCTAAGAATTTTATTTTGATCTTTTCGCTTTTTAAGTATCTATATCAACCCGAGATTCCAATCTCTGAGAAAAAATATGTGCAGGCCTCATAGAGACTCTTTTTTTTTTTATTTTATTGAAACTGAGTTTCGAAATCTAGGTATCAAAGCGTTCTATTAAGATGACTTTTAATGTCATACCTACATACTTACTATGAATTAATGAGAATAGAAGAGTTAACATAGTTTTTTTGAATTTCAATTGTTTTTAAAGTTAAACGTGGCATGCATTTCTTTTTAGACACGCTACTTAAAACATTAAAAAAATGGTTGCCTGTAAAGTCGGTTTTACGGGCGAAGATTTTACGTGACAACGTCTTTTTCTCGGTAGAATATTTATTGATATGAATATAATTAAATTGCACAATAGGAACAAGGAATTGAATGAAAATAAGAATTGCACAAATTTTAACTATAGAAATATATTTTGTTTAAGTTTACATTGTACATGTAAACTTAAACTTAACACGAGAGACTCATCGTAACGTTACCGAGCGTTACACTTTTTCATAAGTGACTCCCAGCCGCAACCTAATTTAAGACGTTGTCACGTCAAAAAATCACGTTAACAACCATTTAAGAACAAACAAAAAAGAAAAGTCGCGCATTCGCTTTAGCGATTTAGCGGTGTTTTACCTGTGGAGGTCGGCATAGCCGCGTGTGGCGCCATGAAGGACGAGAGCTTAGCTGAGTGGTGGTAGGAGCTCATGAACAGATCGCTCTGGTACTTGTAGGCGGGGTCGCTCGCCGCCGGCTGCGTGGCCGCGGCGAGCCCTTGGAAATCGAACTTGTACGCATACCTCTTGCCGTGCACTTTCGTCATTATGTTTTTGTCGTAATAGTATCTGCACAAACACCAGAATCATTAGAAATGCAATTCAATCGTACTGATACACCGTGGAACTTGAAATCGGTTATTTCTATTCGGATTTTGATTATAAACAAATTCGTGCGTCTTTTGTTTCTGTAGTATGAGAAAACAAAAAACGCGCGATAGCACAGCGGAGCTGAACTCGCAAAGACAGTCAAAGTCGCGCAGCGTTTAAACGGGTACCCGAAAGTCGCAGAGCGCATAGCGGGTGGATGGTTACCTCAAGGCCCGGCTCAGTTTGTCGTAGTTCATGTTGGGCTTGGACTTCCTCTCGCCCCACCGCCGGGCCACCTCGTCGGGGTCCGTCAGTTTGAACTCGCCGTTGGTGCCCTCCCAGGTGATGCAGCCGGCGTTGCTCGAGTCGCTCAACAGCTCGAGGAGGAACTGCCATAACTGGATTTGGCCCGACCCTGAAATTGTACTAGTTTTAAATAGGTGATCTAATGGGCAACCAATGACTAGAAAGTATTACAATCATTAATTAATTAATTTTGACTATAAACCATTTTGGATAAAAAATAGACCATTTTAAAAGTAATATTATAATAAATACATAGGTAAATAAAATAATGAGAATGTCTACAATTAATTGCAAATATGTCAATATTATATTTCCTAGATACCAATGATTTCAGAATTCGGTCTAGCGTTTGACATTGTAACAATAAATTGTCGGAGCGATCGATGTGGACTAGGGGGCGTCCCAACAATGCTTTCCCCGGGTGTCATTATGGGGCCGTTACTCTATTACGCCACTGCATCCATGCTAATTTCTCACTCGGCGCAATGGAATGGTGAAGGACACTCATGGCGTCACAAAGGGAATTGACAATATCTGATGCAACAAGAAGGTATGATTGGTGTAAATGCAAAATAGTAGTTTTTTACGAAACATTTACTGTGAACTGTTTTGAATATACGTTCATTGTATACTTTAATATTTACATTAGATATTACGTTTATCTGTCACGGAACTGGCATACGTGTAGGCTGGTGCTAGTGTTTCCTCATCATCAGCCTATTAATGTCCCCACTGCTGGGGCACAGGTTTTCCCTATGGATGGAATAGGGAGATTGGGTCATGACCCACCACGCGGGCCCAGTGCGGATTGGTGGGTGCTAACGACTGCAGATGCAGCCGGGACCAACGGCTTAACGTGCCTTCCGAAGCACGGAGGGGCTCAAGAAAGTAAATTTTTGGGCACCCATCCAATGACCGACCAATGCGAAAGTTGCTTAACTTCAACGATCGCAGCCGAACGCGCTAACCACTTGCGCCATCGAGCTTCTCCGAGTGTTTCCTAGGCTAGTTTAGTTTTGGGAATTCATCATTCAGTAGACCTGAATTCAGATTCTAGGATTACTCATGAATTTTGCGTTAAATGTTCAGACATGGCATTGCAACGCATGGCGTGTCCCTTATAGAAGTCTACCGGTAAAAAAAAATTATGTGATATTATTTGCAGTGCTTAACTTTCGTGTACAGTAATTAATAAAAAACAAACAACACGTCAATGATTTTGTAAACGACAACTACTCGGTAAGTTATCTATCACTGTTTGCTATAATTTAATAATTCTAAAGCGGTCGTTAGTGTTAGAAGGCAGTCCTCTGTGAAGACGAGGATCATTCCATTTTCCTAATACCAAAGCCCGTTGCATAACACCACGGTTTCCAACTTAGGGGTTTTGCCCCCAGATTTAGGGGCTAGAAGTGTTAAAACGGACTTTTTTAGGGGCTGGAATTTTTTGGGGGTTCTTTTAGGGGCTTTTATCAAAACTTACAATTAAATCGAAAAACAAAGCGTGTGTTTTCTTTCAGTTTTGTGCGTAGAATGGAACGCACCACGTAATGACACGACTGAACTGACTGTATGGCGGGTTGTTTCCTAAGGCTGTATGGACTAAAGTTAAAAAACAGCTAAATAAGATTTAACAGCCTGTCAGCTCATTTTCGTTTGACTTTCGGAAACTGTATTTATTCAATAAAATAATTTACCGACTGTAACTAAATATGTAACGTTTTAATTTATGAGCAACGAAAGAATTTGGGTAATAAGTAGGTACTTAAAAATTGTATATTTAGGGGATTTTAGAGGAATTTCAAAAACACTTAGGGGAAAATTTTGGTAAGGGTTGGTAACACTGCATAACACAGCTTATTTTCAAACTACGTTACCAATAAAATGTAAGAAAGTAACAATGTAACGTGTGAATTCCAACAGCGTGTAGTGCACACCCCCCGCTGTAAAGATATACGTGTTTTCTTTCACAGTGGGCGAGTAACGGGTCACGATGTAGCAATATTGGCGATGCGTGTTCCTAGCTAGCCGTGTGGAACGAAGGGTAGGTATGGTAAGGGTAAGTATGTATTGTACCTTTTCACTGCCGACGTACAAGCGAGATCATAAGTACGTTAGCAGGGTCAGTAGTTCCAAACATTGTAGAGGTTAAAATGTTATTAAAGTAATGCTTATAGATATTAGACATTAAAATATGTTCTTTGGTCAATAAATGGTTTGTCAACATGCAACATGTTGACAAACCATAACCAATAAATGGTTATGGTAGTTCAGGCAATATTATCTGACTACTATTCTGTGTGAAGATAAAATTCTAAATAAGTTAGTAAATTAATATTTCTAATTAGTAGGATACTCGCTCTATGAATTTTACTGTGCACTATATTACAATTGGACGTAGTTACGTGAAAACGTTCCAACCCACAAGTCACTCGAAAATGAGTTACCATAACCAGGGTACTATTTTTGACATATTACATCATGTGCACACAAAGATGTTAGTATTTTTAGGTTAGTTTCATCAATAAAGTTTAACCCAAATATTCCAACCCACCATTATGCCAAGAACGTGTACTCAAAATAAAGTAAAAACATTACATACATACTGAAACATATTGTTAAAAACTCTTAATAGAATACCATATCGTTACAATGTTCCACTTGTCTTGGAACATTATACTAAATTCATAAAATGCACATTTAATTGTTTCTTAAATGATCCATGTGGGTTGGAACGTTTTTGCAAAATCAACAAGGTTCATACAAAATTAAATTTAGCAAAAACGTTTCAAACTCGTTTTACCTATTTATATGCCTCTTGTATTATGTATTTACAAAAAATATGCATATCATTCAATAACCAGTTTGGCATTCCACAGTAAAACCAAATAGTATTTGCCTGAAATAATTACAGGGAAAAAGTGTACCGCTAAAACACAAAATTGCGTTTATCTCAAAATGGGGTCGCTGTGGGTTGGAACGTTTTCGCGTAACTACGTCCAATTTAAAATCTTAGCTTTCTGTACTCATTTATGATGGAACTATTTCATCATTATCATCAGCCTATTAATGTCCCCACTGCTGGGGCAAAGGTCTCGTCACAACACAACACGACAGATAAGTATATTTCTGCTTTTAGATTCCAGAGATCCAACCACAGGGTAAGTAGGGTAGGCAACGTACGTCTATAAGCTATGGTAACTGCTGGTAAGCTGGTAAGCTGGTATGGTAACTGCTGGTAATAATAAATAAAATAATTGCTTCCAATTTAATGGAGGCATTTTTTTTATTTATTATTGCTAATATTTATTAATGTTTTAGCCTACTCATATATTAAAGGATTCGATTGTACCACTCTAACCGTTCGGAATTCCATTCGTTTCATATGAATTCGTATGGTGTACGTAACTTTCAGAACATGGATCTGAGACTGCTAGTAAAAACTTTTACAGCTTACATTACTTCTTTATTACAATACTTTAAGGATTATACGGTTTCATGGTAATTGTTGTTTGTAAAGTTAGTGAATTTTAAGGCGCGTTCAGACACGGCCAAAACCTCAAGGCTGTAAATCGCGCGGGTTCAATACGCGGGGATTGAAAATGTTCAGTTTAGACAAGCAGGGCAAGTCAGTGAGGCAGGGTGCCAATCTCTCAGTTTAATGATAAAAGTCGAAGAGGCAATATGTGTGTATTTACAACTCCTTAAAAAAAAGAGTATTGTTGAAACGCAAACACGCGAATTCATTTTCTTGCTGTCGAGTTACGGCTACCACACGGATGCTTGGTCCGCGCGGATATGAACATTCTAGTGCTATGCCATGTTAAGCCATTTTAATAATATCTACGCGTTTTGCGTCTGCGCGGTTTCCGCCGTGTCTGAACTAGCTCTACGATAAGCTGTGTTTTATAAATTGAGCTCTAAAAAAAATTCTAAAAAAATGTACACATTATGTAATGTTATTTTCTGATTAAGTTAAAATACTACCTGTAGATATTTTTGTAAAATTAGTTGTCTGTGTCTGCAGTGTGTGAACATGATTAATTTAACATTACATTAGATTTGATAAACCACAGATCCTAGCAACTGAGCAACGATTCATTCCTGGAATGATACGCGAGGCTAATGAGATTAAAAAATATCCAAATTTCAATAGGTGAGATGTTGATATATACCACCAGCTTGGGAACCCATTTTACAACAGATAAAATCCCAACCCCGAGCACACACTGCAAGACCAACAGACACTATTAGTTCTTTTTGTTTGCATGATTTAACATAAGAAGGAGATAGAAAGCCTCTCTGAGTTTGTTTCGCCGGTTCTTTTTAGAAGGTATAGAAAGGTCTCCCAATTTTGGAACCGGTGGTAGTTTACGGTAGTTAGGGTCAAATAAACAAACTTAAAATTACAAAAAATAATTTTAAATAAAGTAGGTACTTTATTAACTAAATTAACTAATAAATTCATAGATAGACAATAATGTTTTAAAAATCTTCCAATGAAATATCCGAACGCTCAATAAAAGTCTTTCGAAGGTAGCTCGACAAAGTAAATAAAAAATCGTTATTCTGACGATGCATACCTGAAAAGGCTGTGAAACGTCAATAAATAAATAAAGTTCGTGCATTAATCCGTTAAAATTAGTTTTATTTAATTAGTTTTTTTTAACATTTTACTATTAAAGTAAAGTTATCTGTAAAAATGTTATATAGATGAATTTTACGATTGACTAATAGCAAGGATGGAGGTACATACTTATTTTCTCCACAGATCAGTGGCGTCCCTATAATCTGCCCGTTAAGGGAAGCTCACACGAGCGTGGCCCGCAGTGATTTATCCGAGAACGCACGTCACAACGTTTGTAGCGATCGCGCCTCACTTGACCCATTGTCCTCATGCCTCATCGGTTTTATGACTCACAATTAATGACTCGATCGGCAAAATATTGTGCCTTGGTCCATTAATGCTGGGGGCGCTTAATTCGGATGCGCATGGGGATGATCAGTAGTTCGCTTGACTTGTCAGACATCTTTGTGTATTGAAATGTTATTTTTAGTATTGAAAAATCATTATATTTATACAATATCTTTATACTTATGATTTTATTTATTTTTTAAGCATTTAGCTGCTAGATGTTTAAATCTAAAGAAAAGTTTACTAGAAAAAAATCCACGCGGACCAGGCAGCGGACGGGGATCGAACCCGCATCCTTCGCTATCCGGGCGAATGCACTGACCATTATGCTACCACGGCCCTATTAACCGCGTCGAAATTTTCCTAGCCTTAAGCTGCAATTTCGACGCGGCTAATAGGGCCGTGGTAGCATAATGGTCAGTGCATTCGCCCGGATAGCGAAGGATGCGGGTTCGAGTCCCGTCCGCTGTTTGGTCCGCGTGGATTTTTTTCTAGTAAACTTTTCTCAATATCTTTATATTATACCCTTCCCTTGTTATCCTAACCTTGTTATATATCTGTAGGTCATTCATACATGGCTATATTACCACCTTATTATTATCCTGTTATCGCCTCCGAGATTTATTTTTCTTTATGTAGTACCCTCAGTACGACCAGCCAGTCAGCACATAGTTTAGAAAGTAGTAAAAAGAACGACGGGTTGCACTCCGGGAGTGCCGGTAGAAGTGAAAACTTGAATATTAACGTTGTGCATTTTTGATATTTTGGAATAGTTAGGGAATCATTTTGCACGAATTGCTTTAACTATCAGTATAAAAGTACTATCATGTATGTGGTAGAATACAATATTTATTTATTGCGCTATCGTACACAAACATGACAATTTATATTACATTAAAAAAGTTTATTTCTCAGAAAAATCATCTTACATGAATCACGTTTAAGCGCACTTAGCGACATCTATTGTAAAAAAAATGCATTTTCTTCGCAATAAAACTGCCACGTGGACGTCCTAGATAGAGACTTATTATTAAAATACGATAAAATAAAATATTACTATGTTTCGTCCAATATATTGAAAGTCGACAACCGTGTCATGATGCGATCAGCCCTCGTGTTTAACCTGACGCGAGTTTAACATTTTTTACCCATAAAAAAAAAGTGTACAACACCGCTAAAGAAGTTTTCACGTCAAAAAAGTGGGAGATAAATTTACTCTTCACCACGCCCCGCCGCCGCTGCATGGCGGTTCGAAACTGTGTGCAAACTGGCTGGTCGTACTGAGGGTACTACATAATAATAAAAATAAATCTCTTCGTCGATAACAGGATAATTCAGTTCAAACTTCACTTAGATTCGTTTGAGATTTATTTTTCTTGGTTTGATCATTCAATTATAGTAGTAACAAAATGTAATAAAAGCTTCTTGTTTTGGTTTGTTGCATAAATTAAGTCAACTTATTAAGCAGTTTTCTCACGTAGCTAACCATCGCGTGTGATAGCCGCCCTTTTAATGCGTAAGTCAAACGACAGGTAAATCGCTTCGCCCGCCCGTGTGAACTGTTCTTAATAATTACGAATTAGGGCTGGCACGTGCCGTTAATTGTCTTACGTTCCCAATAAAAACACCCCACTGGAATGAACTTTTACGCATCCGTTTTGTGTTTTATATCTATTGAGTTAAGATTCATAATTTGGGTCGCTCTAGTGGCGCAAGTTCTGGTTTACGTTACTCATGAAGATTTATTAGTAGTAAATTATACGCTTTGATTTTAAGGTAAAAATGTAAGGGCGATGTTATTTTGCCCGGCACAGATAATCAAGGTTGATAGCGTTGTCTGTCAGGGGTTGTAGTGGTGGGAAACGAATATGGATTGATGAAGTAACAATGATTTAAGAGAAAAATCAATGATTATACAGTTATAATAATGAATATGAATGATGCTCGCTTAAACATGTTCACAAGTATAGTAATATAAGTTATTTACGGGATTGTTACCATGTACCTTGTTTTTAGCGAGTTTCCGATATTTCGGCACTGTTGCAAGCGCCATGATCACGGAGTAACTGAAGTAATTGCGGGTAGGCTGTTATTGGCAGAAATATGGTTGGTATGGTTAATGGTTTTACACATACGAACCACAGGATTCCAGACAAACCGGAAATAATCAAAAAAGTGTCGTGTCGCGATCCGATACTGTAAGTGTTGTGTGTCGAGTGAATAGTGAGAATGTGAACAGTGGTACGGGTATCGAACGCAATAAAAGACTTCGTCGGAGGGTAGACCGATATGTCTGCCAATAACAGCCTACCCGCAATTACTTCAGTTACTCCGTGATCATGGCGCTTGCAACAGTGCCGAAATATCGGAAACTCGCTAAAAACATGGTAACAATCCCGTAAATAACTTATATTACTATAATGTTAGTGACCATGAAAGTTTAAAACAATATAATGTTCACAAGTGCTTCTATGACATAGTAGCCGGGAGCTAAATTGTTTTTAAGGTGAATTTAAATTAATGTACCAATGAATGTTTGAAAATATGTTTGAATGAATATAATTATCATTATTGAATTATTTTTTCTAGTGATGCTATCGGTTTGTTTTCTAGCATAATGGATATTTCATCCGCGACTGCGTTTCTTCGTAACTATTAATATGTCACAAGATTTTGATGAACCCGTGATTTATGATCAAATTCCAGGATTTAGATAAAATTTATCTAAGAAAACTAATCAAAACGATGTCGCGTGATACAACTTTCAATCAGAAAATATAACTAGAAAAAATTCCACGCGGACCAGGCAGCAGACGGGACTCGAACCCGCACCCTTCGCAATCCGGGCGAATGCACTGACCAATTATGCTACCGCGGCCCTCACGGACCGCGTCGAAATTCTTTCTAGCTATTCTTAAGCTGCAAGGCAGCGCCATCTCTTCGCATTATAGGTAAACCCACAATGTCAAATGAATACTTTTACAAGTATTAAACATTTGAAAGAAGAAATAGCAATTATAGTTATAATTTTTATTATTTTTATTTTTCTTTAGATTTAAACATCAAGCAGTTACATGCTTTAAAAATAATAAAAATTATAACTTTCAATCACCTGAAACGCCAGCGTTTTTTACTGACTACTACAAAATGACGAGACGCTCGCTCGGATCCGAGTGAATATATATACATATTATGTTTAAACATATTTTGACTTTCAGTCACGACAAAACCAAATTTAATTTACTCCGGAAAACTTTAGATATGTCGAATAAAATTCAAATATTGTAAACGTCATAAACAAAAATTAAAAATATTCCTTAAAAATAGATGTGACGACCTCCGTTGCCGGGTTTCGAGGTGTCGCCTACTCGAGAGGTTCCGGGTTCGAATCCCAGTAGGGGCAGATGTTTGTTTGATGAATACGAGCATTTGTACTCCAGTCATGGATGTTTAATATCTATTTCTATACAAATATAGTTATATATGTATCAGTATATGTATTCTATCCGTTATCTTGGTATCCCATAACACAAGCCTTATACAGTGCTTACTTTGGGGCTAGGCAAATTTTGTGTGTGTTAAAAAAAAAGGTTGGCAGCGACGCGTATTAAACGCTGTGAATTTAGTGATTTATAACAAATACCTAGAATTTAGTAAACAATCTTGATCATAATGCTACTTCACTTTTACTAATGCAGAAATAACAACCAGTCAATTTAGTGTTCGTTAAAAATCAATTTTGTGAAAAACGAAATTGATACCTTAATATCGATATAATATTGGCAATTTACATAAATCTAAGTGTCGTTAAGTGGGCTACCCTTGTCTTATTAGCATTTTGACTTGGGGCAAATTCCGATTGCAGACAGATAATAAAGGCACCTACGCGCTATGCGTAACTTCGTGACGTGGCATTCGTTCCCACACGAATCAGTGGCGTTATCAGCGCCATCTAGCTTGCGTGCCGCGTAACACTTTATACCTGCAATTTAAAGTTGGAACTGACAACCCTACGTGTTACACCGTGTACGCACTTCAAAAATGTAAAGACAAACGATTTTGAATCAATTAACTATTAAACTGTATTCTGATATGATTGAATTTGGCCACAATTTGGCGTATACAAGAGATTAGAAAGAGAAGAGGAGCTCGATGGTGCGGCTGGTTAGCGCGTTCGGCTGCGATCGTTGAAGTTAAGCAACTTTCGTAGTGGCCGGTCTTTGGGTGGGTGACCAAAAATCTTCTACGGTAGGTAGGAAAGGTACGTCAAGCTGTTGATCCCGGCTGCATCTGTAGTCGTTAGCACCCGCCAGTCCGCACTGGGCCCGCGTGGTGGGTCATGGCGCCATCTCCCTATTCCATCCATAGGGAAGGGCTGTGCCCCAGCAGTGGGGACATTAATAGGCTGACGATTCAAGAGATTACTAGTGTACGATACTGGCAATGCATTGTTTGAAAATTCTCTATTTTGCACTATATTTATGTCGTTAATAGTGTAGTGTTTAAATTAGTCCACAATAGTAGACTATTTTGAAATTCTTGTTTATAGAGTATAAATAAATAAATACTGATTAAGTTATAACTTATAACACATAACCTACTTTAACACATCATACAAAGTGTCTTAAATGAATCAAGGTGAAGGGTAATCCTGAACTTAAGACCAATTTAAATAAAAATTACATACTAAAAAACTTACCTGAATTTGCTAGCCGACTGCTCGTAGGACCAAACATTTGATATGGATCTGAGAACAAAATCATAGAGACAATCAGTACAGTTAAATAGTTATTATATATTTTTCACTACAGTGTTAGAAAAGTGAGATTGTTAAGTTTGTAGTAATATTATTTAATTATCAAAGTCATCCATAGATGGCGTTACTGTAATGTTTAATATTTTTCTATGCAAGTTCTGAATCACGGTAAATAGTTTGTTTTTCGAATACACTTTGTTTGAGCTGCTCGATTCTCATTGATATCATAAATTCTCATAAATTCTCATAAATTCTCATTAATTCCGCATTATTATAGTTATTATTATTATTTTTTGTATCAATTTGACATTACATTATTATTATTTGCATAAATTTGACATACATTTTTAATTTTAAATCAAACATTGATTATTAATTGCACTATTTTGTATTGATTATTCATTGATTTATTGATTATTAATTCCATTTATTATTATTGATAATTAATTATATTGTGCTTTTCTGAATTGAATGTTGTGTGTGCTTGGAAAGGCTTGCATATATGTCTTAGAATAAGTATTATTTTAATTTTTTAATGTTTTTATATGTTTAGCTGTAAGTACACCTATTAAATAAATAAATAAATACACTTAAGTTCAATATTATTTTGAAATGGACAACCTTTCCCGCAGATTTCGGTGTTTTATTTACTTAAATAGCTCACAGACTTATTGAGATTTGAACAGAGATAGGACGGACTTCTTTCTCACATATTTTTTTTGAAGTGAAATCTTCTTTGGCGGCGTTGTACACTTTTTTTGTAATGGGTACAAAAAAATGTTAAACTCGCGTCAGGACACGGGATCCTGATCGTAAATTCGTAAGACGGATGGAGAGTAGACAGGAGAGGAAGTATACCCCTCTCTTTCTACGGCGCGGCGTGCCTGCCAAAATGTATGCCTGCGCCTGCTGTTTCGTTTAGGCGGCGCAGGGCGCTTGCGCGAATGTTCGTGTGTTTTGTTACAGCGTGCTACGCGCATCCATGGATGGTGACAGCTGATGGCTCGACCGTCTGTGTAGTGGCCACTATGCTGTATATTCGTGAAATTACATAATATAAGATTTATTTTAAGCTAGGGACTGTCAAACCGTACAGTTCAAAACTCAAAATGCTAGGCAGGCCGATAGATGTGTCCGGGACGAATAGTATGTATATTCGGCAGTATACCGAATACCGAATATTAGGCGAGGCCCCTGACCGAATAGCCGAATATTAGGCAAAAGTATTCGGCTGGATTTCAGCGCCAAAAACTTGTACAGACGTGATTGTTTCGCGCTCCTTTGTTTTAATCTATACCAATGACTACTTAATAAATGATTATAAAAGAAATGAAAACCTTACCCTTCTAAATTTTGATTACCACAATAATTCAAATACATAGAATCCTCCATTTTTCCCAATTCAGAAGATGATTATGTACCTGTGTTATGTACCAATGACTACTTTTATGATTATATAACAGAAATGAAAATATGAATATATACGTAATCAATCGATTTTAATTTTTAATTTTACCAATTATTTCTCTATGATAAAATAAATTATTTAAGTATTCGGTGTTCGACCGAATATAATAAAAGCAGCCGACTAGGCCGAATACCGTTTAATAACCGAATATTCGTTGCAAGTCTAATCTACAACAAATTTATTTAAATGCGACATAGCTTTATCAGTCAAGTATACTAAATGTGTGGTCAATACAAAATAGCTAATAGAATTTGGGCAAAAATTTACGTTTCAGCTGGAACGTTCACGATTCTGTCGTTATCTTTGACCGCCATCGCTGGCTAGAGATAGCCATAGCCTGGCTGGACGCTGAAAGATATGCCGGTTGCCATGGCGACCGCGACAACAACATACGCCGCCCGAAAAAGCCAGATACACCGCATAGATTGCATAACAAGTAGCTGTAATAGAAGCAGGGTAGGCATCTGAATTAACATAGATAAAGGTGCCTGTCTACCGCCGCTGCTGTGGGCTAGTGTGGGGGATCTCCCGTGTATTTTTCACATATAACTTATTACTCACTTATTTCCTACCTAAACATAGTAGATTTTTTTTTTTTTTTATAGTTAGGTCCGACAAATGACTCCACCCCACCTGATGTTAAGTGAAGGTGAAGTCCAGACGCGAAGATAGCTGATACAGCAGTTCTACCTGCCACACCAGCCATCCTCACCCTGCCGGCCTGCATGTTGCTTCTTCACGCCTCTTTTAAAGGATCCCAGGTTGTAAGAGGGAGGGAACACGTGAGCGGGCAGAGCATTCCATTTACGGATAGTGCGACAAAGAAATGAGTCACCAAATTTCTTTGTACGCGTTGGAATTGTGGCCACAGTTAGACGGTGACAACGTAGGCCAGCGCGCGTGGTCCTCTGAAGGAAAGGGGAAGGTGGGATAAGAGAGAATAACTCCTCAGAACACTCGCCGTGGTACAAACGATAGAAAGATTTTTAACCAAGGGGATAAAGCGTCTTGTCTCTGTGTCTTCTGTCGCGGGTGACGATTTAAATCGCGAGCGTAACGAAGGACTCGAGGTTTACTCCCGAGCGTAGCGAGGGTGTTAAGTTCACCCAAGACTAAGACAGCTTTATCACCGAGGATAAGTAGTCTACTTTTCGTACCATTTGCGAAAAAATTAACACAATAATAATAAGAGATAAGCATTTATTAGAAATAATGACAATTAATAGTAAAAGTTAATATTCTAAACATTGGTCCAATTAAATACGGCCTCGTCGGTTTTCGTAATTTTATTTAATAATCATAACTGCACAATAAATGCATATTACTTTTTCAAAAAGATGTATAATGCTTTATATACAAACTCAATGGTGTAAACACAGATGTAGTTCAGTATAAATTTCGGTAAGTATTCCAAATTTAAATCACATTCTCCCCCTAGAGGATGAATGAAATTCAGTACAATTTTCTTTCCCTGTTTTTAACAGATTAAAAATGACTATTGTTATGTTCGCTTTTTGTGGCATAGAATGTCACTTTTTTGAGTAAGTGGTACGAAAAGTTTATTTACCTTTCTTTAAGTATCTTGTATCGTCGATGTGGTAGAGTTTGCAAAATTAGTAGAAGCAGGCTAACATTGTCTAGTCGCAAACTTTCAAACATTGCTCCTATGTTATATAACCGGGCCAGCAAAATCATTGACATATATCCCCTTACCCTTAATAAGAAAGGTTACTATACAGTTAAAGATTTTATAAATGACTAGCGGCCCGCCCTCGCTTCGCTTCGGTGTAGAGCTGAAGTGTAGACTACAGTTTTTGTTCTCAGGCTTGTATTATACATAATGACATTCATCTATGATTCTTCTTATACCTGCATGCAAAGTCTCAGCCCGATCGGTTTAAAATTGACAAAGTTTCATACAAACTTTCATTCCCTATTTTATCCCCTTGGGGGTAGAATTGATCAAAATTTTTTCCGTAAGAACCTTGTACAGAGTATTAGAAAACTACAAAGAAAAAATCAGCCAAATCGGTCAAGCCGTTTTCATGTTATGTCGTGACAACGGAAAACGGGTTTCATTTTTATATATATAGACTAGCTGACCCAGCGAACTTCGTACCGCCCTAAAAAATAGGGGTTGTCCAGCGGACAAAATTGTGAATCTAAACCATTCTCAGATCCCCTTGAACACACACAAAAATTTTTCATCAAAATCTGTCCAGTCGTTTAAGAGAAGTTCAGTGACATACACACTCACAGAAGAATTATATATATAAAGATAAGGCACCTTGGGCTTAATATAATAGACTAAGTCGTTTTACTTTGCTAATTTGGTTGAAAATTGTTAGTTATACTTAACTTATTGTTAATTAATAATATTAATGTGATGAAATATGACATCAACACATGTTTTTAGTTTTTGATGTCATCTTTCAATTGACGACACTGTATGAAACAAAACAGGGAGAAAAAAATAGCCCTATCCTGAGTTTCTTGCCGGTTCTTCTCGGTACAAGGTCTCCCGCCGTAGATTTACGAACCGATGGCGTAGCGTTTGACTTTCACAAGAGCTTGTAACAGCCTAGACTGAATAAATGAGTTTGAATTTGAGTTTAAGTGTAAGACGGTTCCTAAGCAGTGGTTACATTCCCTTTCATATGATGAAACGGAGAGCTTACTCAATGTCATCAAATAATACACGGATATACATGTGAAATCACATGCAACTAACATTTTAGTACACTCGGACACTCTCACTCTCATAAACATACACGCATGCACATACAGACACACACACTCACGCTCATATATACAAACACACACACACATACATACTTTTTATTTTTAAGTAAATGGTAAGATAAGGCCTGTAATTTTTGGAGTTTACTCCTTAGAATCGATTTGCATATATAAGGGGCCCGGTATGACAAAAATGTGAGGAGTAAAATCTATCGATGAATGACCTCGTTACGTTTTTGGTGCGCAGCCTATGTCGCGCAACTTTGACAAACAAAGATGACGGATTGACATTAATAAAAAAAAAAAAATCTGAACTGAATTTAGATATTGTTTCTGATAGAGCAATGGGGACAACGAGGAGTAAACTCCAGTCGTGCGTCGGAGCTGACACACACAATTTTCTTTTCACATTTTTTATTTTCATTTGATAGTGTTCTTATCATACATTAATATGTGTGAGGAGTTCGATGGCGCAAGTGGTTAGCGAGTTCGGCTGCGATCTTCGTTTTCCGTGCAACGGAAGGCACGTTTCGCATTTGGTCCCGGCTTGCATTCGTCAATCTGCACTAGGCCCGCGTGGTGGGTCATGGCCCAAACTCCCTATTCCATCCATAGGGCAGGCTTGTCCCCAGCAGTAAGGACGATAATAGGGTAATGGTGATGATATATGTATTAATATAAGTGAAAAATAGCTTCAATGAGGGCTACCGTTTTCTGCCTCACCAGATGGCGCCACTGTTGAGTGAGGTCCTAAATTGTAACTTTTAAAGTTTATTATTACGCA